GTTTATTTTGTCAGTCATTGCAGTTGAAAAAGAAACCAACACAGTTTGTGCAGTTGCTGTCAACAAGTTGCAGGTTTGTATTACTCGAAAGGAAAACCACAATGATTCACTTTACAAATTGTACTTTGAAAATTTAATAAATAGTTTCACGTTCTGTGATATATGAGTTTGTTTTCCATTCCATTACTCCATAACAGACCACTTTGAATGGCAAATTTGCAGTTGAAACAATATTATGAAACATTACAAGAGTAGCATCAAACCTACGAGTATATCCACCAATACGTAGAGTTTTTTTTTATTTATGCTTGAGAAAGCTATTGTATGGCGAAACACGTGTCGCGGTTTTTGTTAAACCCTTTATAGTGAAAATCATACAGTAAACTGTATTAATTAGTCAAAATACATGTGTCATTTTTTTCATTTTGACAGAATTGAAACCGTGTGCATTTGCAAAAGTTTATACTTCCACTATCACTACACTTCAATCTTTCATAGTAAGAGGAATGTTGAGTTAAAAATATCGACGAAAGTTTACTTTGCATAAATCTACTTTCAATCTCAACCAAACGTGTTGATTCACCTGAAAATTTGCCTAAATTTAGTTTCATTAAAATCAATCATGTTTTCCAGGTTAAAAGCCAACCCGGGGGTGACTCCTTCTTTACCAACTTCGCCAAATCATGCAAGAACCCCCTGTCACGATTCATAATCAATTACATGAACGACGCTGATGACAACTTCGACCTGTTTGAGCATTGCAAAGTGGACTGTTTGTTGGAAACAATGTTTTTGGGGACCCATCCGGAATTCAGGAGAAGGGGCATCAGTTCCAAAATCTGTGAAGTGACTACAGAAGTTGCAAGACGGTTGTTGCACGGAGAAAACGTCAAGGTGTCCCTCGATGGAACAGAGCTGAAGTTAGAGCCAGTGCCAAAACTGGTAGCTGCGCTGTTCACTTCACCCCAGTCACGGGCAATCGGCAAGTCAGCGGGATGGAAAGTTGCGACAACTATACAATATAAGGATTCCTTTTATCAAGGGAAATCCTTGGCTAGTGCTATGGAGGATACGAACCGTACATCACAAGTATATTTCAAGAGGCTCCAGTGATATGAATGATTGGCCTCAAATGGCGGTGTAGAGAAATGTAAACCAATCAAATTCCGAATGACTTTTTGTTTTTCAATGACCCTGTCTGTACTCCATTTTACATATTTCGTATAGTCAGTAACTTCTTTAGAATTACCACTTTGGAAGCCCCTAGCAATATCAACAAAACAGTTTGCCTGTAGAAACTCATCAGTTGTATGAAATATGAGTTCAAGGGCTGGAAGAAGCGAGTGAATTTTCAAAAACGAAAAGACTGATAAGAACTATTTTCATCAGATAATTTTCCTCAATTTCTGAAAACCTCCAACAAGGGAGATCAATATATGACCAGTCTCTCTGATATTCACTTCTGGCAGGATTAAGTATACAGGGTGTCCCATATAAAATTCCGCGGGCAAATATCTAAAAAATGAAAAAGAATATCCATTTTTTGTGAAAGTAGATAATTCTGGTGTCAAAAGGTCCTCTTATTCACGTAGAGATCCAGCACTATGCGTCATCAGTTAGGGCGTCGCGACACCGACGCCAATTTTGTTAAATGGTAACCCAGTATTTTCAAACCATCAATGATTCCGCACCAAACATTAACCCCCCACAGAGACTGAAATCTTGTTTCTTGCACCCAATGAGGGTTCACGTCAGACCAATAGTGACAATTATGTATGTTTATTATTCCGTTATTATGGAAACGGCTTTCATCGCTCCACAATATTTTTTTCAGAAATTGATCATCATGAATACGGGTAGACAACCATGCAATGAAGTTCAATCTTCTATCAGCATCTCATGAATATGGGAATACATTTTAGTTATTGAAAATGAATAACATTTGACTTAGCACTGCAACACTGTGATTCTCATCAGTAGCCATTTTGTTTTTTTCGCTTCCGTTCATTGAAACATCCATTTCGTGCCACAGATTTGGCTGAGCCAGCGAATGTTTTATCTGACGGTAACTTTCTGTCAGGATACCGATTAGCGTATATTCTCACTGCTTCTTTTGAATTCCTTCTTGCTTCGCCATAAATACATATCATATACAACTTTTCTGCATTTGAAAATTGAACCATTTTTCAATTTTACGAAAAACCAACACAAAACTGCTTACACTTTCGTCAAATCTGACAGGTCTTCTGACAGATCGATAAATACATTATTGCATTTATTTTGACTTATTCATGGCACTCTTTATGATACGCAATAAAATAGCCTTTTTTCATCAGTATTCAAGGAAAACTACAAGTGTGCTATATGGCTGAATTCAGAATTTGACGCAGAATTCAAAAACCAATTGAAAATAATGGGTTAGCATTTTAAAAAAATTGGCATCGGTTTCGCAACACCCTAACGGATAACGCCTTATACTGGAGCTCTACGTAAATAAGAGGACCCTTTGACACCAAAATTATCTGTTTTCACGAAATATGGATATTCTTTTTCGTTTTTTAGATATTTGCCCGGGGAGTTTTATACGGGACACCCTGTATACTTTTCAAAAACACCTACCAAATATTTGTGAGAAATGAGCACATTTTTTAAAATGCCTCAAAATAACAAAATTACTACGTTGTTTCAAGAGTTTTATCCATTCTAATGATGTTTTTGTAGCTCTATGTTTCAATAAATATTTATCCTATTGTATCCTGATACATACTGTATACTGTATACATTGACAGAGCCGTCACCATGGGGGGGACGGGGGGAACCTCCCCCTCTGCTTTTTCGACTTGGGAAAAAGTTGGGAAATTTTGGGCCGTGAAGATATAAAAACCTAATAGTGAATAAATGAAAGAAAATTAAAAAAATAGAAATGAGAGAAAAGAAAGGAAGAGTTAATAAGAAAATGGAAAGAACCAGGAGAAGGTTGGGATTTTCCAACATACATAACTTGAAGATCCCCTACTTCTGAAATTTTGAGTTGTTTGAAAACCTCAAAAAAGTTCAGTTAAAGTTCAGCCAATCTTTGGATAGCTAAGTAAGAAAATTAATATATTATAGTAGTAACTGATCTCATGGCTTCTATTTTTTCGAAAGTTGGGAAATTTTGCTGGTGGGGTTGGGAAAATTTGGATTTCCTCCCTCCCTGGTTTTCTCGCTACGGCCTGTACATTGATGCTGGTAATTTCTTTTCAGAAATTTGGCATTTGGCCAGACTCCTCCTGTCCATAGTGAACAGAAGCTTCGTCAGGGAGCGCAGCTGTCTTGCTCTAAGTTTCCTCGTTCACTATTTCTTTTATGAAAACACTCAAATTTTCACTAGCCTTTCAATGCTACTTTCTCATAAAACCCATATATTATCGCACTAACGACCTCGTCGAATCCGTTGACATTTAGCCTGGTTATTGACGCAGGGGGCCGCCAGTGCTCTCAAAATGTTTTTCATTCTAATATTTATTGGAGCTTGACTATATTTTTTGAAAAACACCTCATTTTTGCACTCCACTCCGGCCACGACATCCACGTATCATCTTTGAGGACGGTCGTTTTCCGCACAACTGTCCTCTGGCGCGATCGGAGAGGAAGTCTTTGAAGTTAGCTAGTCAACATTTCCGTTTTTCCAAAAAAAGTTAAAACATATGTTTGTGTGAGAACTGGAAACTGTTTTCACGATAATTAAATTGTTTAAGAACCTACAATACGTGTTTTGTATCAGTCCGAATAAAATATATATGAATAGAGGTACATAAATATATATATTTTTTCAAATAATATATTGTGGTGACTGATATTTACCAACAATTTATCGATTTAAAGATAATTTACAGTGATTATAGGCGATAAAAGTGTTTTTTACTCAAAACTTCAAGTACGTTTGTAGAATTTGAGGGTAGTCGACAGTAT